TCCCTACAGGTTATATTTTTTTTTATATAGATAGTGATAGCACTTGTAGCTGATATGAAATGCTGGAATTCTTGTGAACAACGGAAGCTTTATTAGTCATAGTTCTTGCCCTGAAATTAAAATCTTACAAATTTCAGGAGGATTTTTATGTTGCTTCCTTATACTTTTAACCATTAAACATGAAATTCAGTTTGGGTGCCTATTCCAGTATAGCTCCTGGATATGAATGGTTTACAAGTAGAACCTAGAGTCTATTAAGATAAAATAGAAAATTCTTCTCCAGGCAGAGAACTTTGTGAAGAATAAAGCTGGAAACTTATTCTCTCTCTTATACCATCCTGAGCCAAACATCCTGGTTTTATTCTTGATGTTGGAGGACTGTATTTGAACGAACTATTACATTTTTCCATAATGTCCTTTCTCTGCTCTTGAGTAAGAGAGAGGGTTCTGTAGCTGATAAGGAGGCAAATGTTCCTGCTTATAACCAGTGTTTTAAATAACAAAATATTGTCAGCTAAAGGGTAATATTTTGGAGATATGTAAATTATTGACTTCTCTAAGTCAGTTAGACAGTGAAGAAAGGGGGCTTCTTGTCAGGTATATTTGATACTGTAAATAAAAAATGCTTCTGTCAACAGTTTAATTAGTGCTTGCATAAATGTTCTTTTCAAAGCTTTCCACAGTGGGGAAAGTCCTTGTGTGCTCACATGCACGTTCTTTCCCTTGTTCTAAATGTTCCATTGGTCTACTGCATTGGCAGCTTTTGTATGTGATGGCTTAGTGAATCGTTTGTGCATCTGATAAGCACCCCTCTTATTAACTGTTTTATAACATTTATTAAGAATGCCAGACTGGATTTTTTTGTTTGTTTGTTTTATGCATCTTGCATACTCAGTTTCTGGACTCTCAGGAGAAACACCATGAAGCCAACCCTACAATATGCTTCCTGGGTACATGGATTCTTTTGACCTCCTTAAATTTTAAGGAATTTTAAATTAGTCAGTCATGGGGAACCCGATAAAAACAAGCACACATACTTGGTTTTATGTTAGAGACTTAGGGAAGGAGGATTTGTTGTTACAAATATTCAAAAATCAAACTTCATTCTTAAAGTTTGGTCCTTTTTGAGATGTTCCATCACATACAGCTCTAGCTTATGGAGTAGGTAGACATCAGTCTGCATGGCTTATTCCGCAGACTATGTAGTTTGAAACTAAGGGATATTTTTTGGGAAGGACTATGCAGAACATTCTATTACATTACGACTAACTTTACATCTCAAGTCTCCAAAGGATTGCATTTTCTGAGTTATCAAGAGCCATGTGTCTAGGAAGGGAACTGGGAGAACAAGGTCTATCATTTTTCTTATCTGACCTATGGTAATAAGCAGAGGAACACTTGGAGCCAGTAGAGATTTTTCTCCTCAGTTATATTGGCCCTCATTAATCTCAGCATGATTGATAGTTGGTTTTGCCACTCAACTGAGCTAAAAGCAAGTTGATGGTAGTTGAAGGCAGTCTGATCTCTAGCAGTGTTCAGCCTCATGCTTCAAGATCACGTTGCATAACCAGTGACCATCACAACATTGTTGCTGGCCTGCCACTGAGGTGAAAATGAAGGACGAATTGATTTTTTAATGCTGTTTTATACTGAATGATGATAAAACTCAGCAAGTCCATCTAAGCCTAGTTAATAGGATTTCTGAGAAGTGCTTTCATACAATTCACGTAACTTTACAAGAATTTATTTTAGTGTGTCATGGTGTCATGTAAATTCACGGTAGCCATTGTTGTTTCTTGCTAAAATCTTAGCGTAGAACCAGTTCAAACAACAAATCCCATGTTATGCTTTTGTGCCTACCTCCATTTTAAACTGACAGCTCTTCAGGAAGTTAAACTTGTACAAAAGAAAGTAAGAATTGCTTTTGTGCAGCTTCGTGTGTGACAGTTATTTAGGATGAATCAGAAAAGGTAATGTAGCAAAGCTAATGTTAATATAGAATTACATACGTGCACTTGACTGTGTGAAGAACTATGTGTTCATACAGCGCTCTCAGAGTTTGTAGGTTTCCAAATTGCTAGTAGCTCAGTGAATGACATGCTAAATGTGGAAGATGAATTACAGAAAAATAAGATACGGAGTTTTTTTGCTAGGTAACTTACTGATGTGGACCGGTGTTCAGGACAGTTAAATTGCTTTGGCTTTACAGTTTAGTTTTTGTTTGTTTGTTTTTTTTTTTTTAAACTCTCCTTCTCTTTTCCATAGGCAGGAGTAAGACAGCTTTACATACAGATTGATGTCGCAGCCATGTAGTGAATTTCTGAAATTGTGCTGTTGGACCAAAGTTTTCTGTACCGTAATGGTATAACAACATACTTCTCAAGACAGAGCCTGCCTCCACCACTCTTCTGGAATTGACTGAATAGATTTCTGCCCTTGGGCTATGGATGGAGTTCACTTTTAAGGAGTAAATATTGAATGAATGTTATGGACTTTGGGTCTTGTCTTTTTGTGGCCCCTAGACTTGTAAGTTTTTGAGGGTTTTTTACTTACTAAGATTGTGGTACTGGAAACCCTGTCATGTGTTCAGTAAAGCTGCTGAAACCACTGCTCATTCCCATGAAACCAGTGTTATCAACAATTGGAAACTTGTTTTGTAGATAATGTCACAGGCTGACATGCTTCAATATAATTGTATGTTTGTACAATTGTTTGTACTTTGCAAACTTAATGAACCAAACCATATTGGGTTTTCAAAGTGCCTTCTATATCAGGAGAGGTGTTTGCCAGCATAAATACAGAGCATCAAGGGGTTTTATTACTTCTACAAATATCTTGTATGCAGTCTGATTATTTACTAGTGATGTATGTGGGGGGTTTGTGTACTTGCATAACTGTAGATGTTAGACTTCCCTTATACTTGCATCTTACCAAACAGACAGAAAAATTCTAAATAGAAAAGGCAAAGCTCTTGTGAAGAGACTTGCTTCCAAAACAAGCTGGATATTTTGTTGCACATATCTTGTGGAAATTATTTTAGTCAAAATATTAGATTTAACTCCAAGTCTTAGTCTCTTCACATTATATGATGCTACTCATGTTCATAGTCACTGAAACGACAGGCAGCTGAGGGAAGATGCTGGTGATGGAAGCAATGCTTGAAGGTTTTTATTTTCTGAATTACGTGGCGGGAAAAATTAAAATCCCTAAATTGTTTGTGAAAGCTTAAATCTCCTTGATTTTAATAGGTTGTAATATTTTTTTATTAAAGTGATTGGTGAGATAACTTTTGCCTTTCCAAATACTGAAAATAGTTGTTCCTGGTGGTTATACCTGAAATGGAAATAAGGACCATGGTTAACGCTGTTAAAGATTATGCTTTTTCCAAGTTGACAAGTCTGATATTTTTTACTATCTTACTGTAGCCTTGTGTGTTTTCATGGGGAAAAAAAAAATTCTCAGTGCATTAAGTTGTTGTTTTCCAGACACATTAGTCTGTCATATTTTTCTAGCATTTATAATCATTTTACACTTTCAGATCTGGGCATTGTTTTCAAAGACAATCTGCTATACTTGGTATTACAGATGATAATTCCACTATGCTGTAGTAGATAACTTAGTAATGGAAGATTTTATAAGAGGGCATTTTACAAACAGAACATTGTGGAGTAAAAAACAAGACAGGCATTTTTCTGATAAATCATAGCCGCTACTGACTGGTATGGATTTTAAGTAGTATTCTGGTACCTGATACATGGTAATACTGAAATCAAGGCCCTCTGAAGCTGACAATGTATGTCTAGTAAGTGCTAGGCACTATGAAAGTACTGAAAAATCATTTGCGGAAATGGTTTGTTTGCCACTGGTGTTGCTGAATTCATGATAAAGATGAAGAGTTTCTTGCATTCGTTCTGTCATTCCTATATAGCACCTGAATTTTGATCTCTTTTCATGTGAAAACACGATGGTTGCCAAATCGATAGGTGGTTCCTGAATTTTCCAGATGAGATATTGAAACATGAATGTTGATTTTGTACAAAGCTTGGGGTGTACTCTTGTGCTTGGAACTGAAAACTGGGTGTAAAAAATAGCAGTAAAAAGTCACGTACATACTGCTTTTAAGCTTTACAGTCTCTTCCAGTCTTCAGATCCTTCTTCGTCCCTATTGCTGGTTTCTGATCCTTTTGGCTTCTCCTGGGGCTGCGGGTGCAGAGTGCCCTTTCAGCTGCCTGCACTGTTCCACACCTCTCTCTTCTGGCCTCCAGCCTGGCACCCGTCAGGCTCCCTGCCCGTCTTGCTTTGCGGGTGCTCTGCCAGGCCTGGAGCTCCTGACCGCAGGAGGGGATCTCAAAGTCACACGGCGCAGGGTAGGGTGCAAGAATCTGTTGAGCAGGTTTGAGTATTGCAGTTTAAGATACTGATTGCATATTAAAATAGGGTTGTGATTATAGGGCAGAGATCCCTCATTGTTTTGTAGTATGTTGCATCTAGACTGCTTCTTGTTGGTTGACAGCATGATTTCTTGATTATTTTTTTTAATAGTTAATATTACTACTATTTGAGGCTAGAGATCAACTGATATCACTTTAAAGGCAAGCATCAGCCAAATTCCTTGCAATCGTGTCATGATGCGAGAGCAGGCTTTGGTTTATATCGTTTTTATACTAGCATGTTTTGGGACTGAGTGTTCCTGGACTTGCTGAAATACTGTAGTGCTGCCCAAGATGCTGGGCTTGGCCACTATTTTAGTTTTCGTAATGAAAAGACAACGGCTACAATTTGTTTCCAAGTGAGAATCTGCCTGAGTGGCAATTGGGTTGGTTGGTTGTTGGTTTGGTGTTTTGTTGTTGTTGGTTTGTTTGCCTTTTTTTTTCCCCAAGATGTACATCTGCAAACTTTTTAAACATGGGAAATTGAGTGAAAAAGCCTATAAGCTGGTTATAATTACACAATATGGATTTTAATAATGTTTTGGACATCTTTTTGTTGCTGATGAGAACTTATCTGATCGTTGGAAGCGTATGTAGAAGTCTGCGTTTTCTAACCAACATAGCACTTTCTTCATTATTTTTAAGGACAACTTGATGCTTTTATAGGAAGAAATGTATCATTTGTTTGTTAAATATAATTGAGGAAGTAGACTTTAAGCCTTTTTAAGCTTTCTGAAAAAGGATAAGCATCACAACATTCTGCAAAAGACAGTAGCTGACATGTCCAGTAGGTAACTAAAGTCACATCTAGTCTGTCAGTAAACAGAGTGACATCTGATTTATTTTTTTCACCTACTAAGGGGATACTTGCTGAGGTGTTAGGAGAGTACAAATCATGCAATTGAAAGTGCAGCTTTTCTTATCCTGAATGACAGCTCCATTATTTTGTGTTTTGCTAATTACCTAACGCTTAGCTTATTATATAACACTTTGCTTTTAACAGTTTATTGGAGATGCATCGCATCTTTTAAACAAAGATTTGTGTGAATGGCTGACATCCAGAAATGGATGAACGTCTGCAGATCGTCTGCTAAAACTCAGCTTCCTGGTATCCAGCACTGAATTTTGAACCAAGTTTTCAAAGTCTGATTTTCTCATGTTTTCATGTAGCTGAAGCTTACTGGGGTGTTACTGGTCTGTCTTTGTGGTTTTGGTTTTTGTTTTTTGTTTTTTTTTTTTTTTTTTCTGTGACTGAAAACAGTAACTTACAACCATATTGTCCCAAAGACCAAGCCTGCAAACTGCGTGACTTTTACAGGACCTACAGCAAAATAAGAAGATAAAACAAGTGCTACAGAGTGTCTGTATTAAAATGCCCCCAATGTTTATCATGGTAAATAACAGTGGAAGAAAACTACTCTTAAGAGTGTGCACAGTGAAGACTGGTCCTTTGTAGGCTAATCCTGTAAGCCTATACGTAGGGATAGACTGGTTCCTTACATCAACAGGGGCCCTACAGAGCCCTACGTTACTTGTGTGACTTGCTAAACTAGGGCAAAAAGTGCTGGTCCAAATAAATGACTCTGCTTTTTATGTAATATTGCTTACTAACACAAAAGTTTAATTGCATCATTACTAAGAGCTGCTGACACTATTTTTGCATAACAGTTGAAACTGCTGCTACTAATAAAATGGACCTTCGTGACTCTTAATTTTTTCTTCTGAAGAAGAAAAGCCGGGTTTAAAGGTGGAGGAAAGAAAGGGTATCTCTCTTTAGCGGTTGTAAGTGAGCCTGTTTTGGGAACATAATCAAAGATACAAGAGGGGAGAGAAGCTGCTGCTGAACTGCAGTTTTCCACCCTTTGCACCCACTGTGCAATCAAATTGTGATGTTCATGGCTTTTCTCTCACAGTGCAGATTTTAGTTGCAGAAACCTTTATGCTTCTATAAAATGCAAATCCTAATCAATACTCGTGTAACGAGATCTTTAAATACCAGTTCAGAGCAACAGCTTTAGTTACTGATTAAGCCCTGTCCTGTTTTCCCCAGCAGCCATCAGACTGCCACTTGCTAGGATTCTTGATTATCCCACCCCTTTTAAGCATGTTTGGGAATGAGTATATGGGGATTTTCTTTTGTTTGTTTGTTTTGGTTTTTGTTTTTAAATAACCTATTTCTCTGGTCCCTAATACTGACTCAGTGGTTAATTCCTCCTTTACACTTCTATGAAAATCCCTACCTGCAACTTGCCGGGATTCCCTTTTGGATTTCTCCCCCATTCAGGCTTTGTTGCAGTGACCGTCCCTGTTGGGACTCCATCGGCCAGAGACTGCTATAATGTGAAAAGATGCCAGTTCTGCTTCTGCTGTGCCTGGCATGTGAAGACTACATGTCTCACTGTGCAGATACTGGTTAATCTACTTGTCTGTTTCAGTGAGCCACAAAAGGTTCCTGCCTATGTGGTAATTTGGCGGAAATAATGTGTAAAAGGAGTTGTGTATTTCACTTCCCACGTGCATTGAAGTCTTTCATGTGTTCGCTGGGATCTTGTACAAGAGTTAAATGAATCGCTACAGTATTTTGGCTGAAGTGTGAAATATTGTGAATGAAGACATTGCCAAAATCATTCCTGGTAGCATACACCATATTGCTTGCATTCAGCGTATTGCTTGCCTTTACCTTTAAATTACAGGAATTACTCTTAGCAGTGAGCTTAAGTCGAATAGTACAGAATATCAAAATACCTGTAAAGAAATCTTAATGATCAAGGCAGCTCACTAAAATTCTGAAGACCATGTATGATTTTGTTCTGGAATGCTAATGTTAGTAGCTTAGCCATGACTTGTCCCAAGTGCAATATTAGAAATTTTTAATGTAATCTTTTCTACTTGAATACGGTCTACATAAAATATTCTGTTTAAATATTCTACATTGCTGAAAAGATACGGGATCAAATTTCTTTCCAATAAATCTTCAGTTTAAAAAAATAACAGGTCTGCTTTGTTCTCCTACATACTGTGGAGGCTAGTTGAAATAGCAACCACCATCATCCATTAGCTGATTTTAAAGAGAATTCTTGCAGTCTGTTTTCTGAGAATTGGCTTGAGGTTAATTGTGGCTGCTGCAGTTTGAGTCCAGCATGTCATAAATGCTAGCATTAACATATGAAGGAATCCAGTTCTATTTTAAGTTGCAGCCGTCTGAAATAAGAAATTCTGTGCAGCTTCTCCCTCTGTTTCACTCAACAAAGGGTGAGTTCTTGTTTTTTCTTGGTTTAGACATAAAGAACATTCTCACCTGTCTGTATTCACTCTCCCAAGTGTAAAGATGGATACGGACCTAACAGGTTTTGCACGCCACTGGTTTCTGTTGGTGAGAGAACTGTTAAGTTTCTGGAAAGTTGAAAAGCAAAATTTAACATCTAAACTGCACTTACAACCATGTATGCAGTAGGCTTGGTTAATGTACTACAGCAAAAGTGATGCCAGACCGGTATCTGGTGCACTTCTTCGGTTCTCTACTTGCACTTCTTATCGTAGTCATCAACCTAAGACTGATGCAGATGTCAATGAACTGAATCCGACAAAGGGTTTTTAAGGTTTAAAGGTTTCTGGAGGTGTCTACATGTTAGAAGCTGATACCAGCAGGTGCAGCTTGCAGTTTGTAGCTTCAGGTACAAGCAGGTCCGTGTTCCCACAGTGTTGTCTTGTGAAGCAATATACCAGCTGCACTTAGGCAAGCTCTGAATATTCACAGGAATAATGTTATGCTGTCACAAAATTAAAGATGGAATAAAAATTTAAATGCCTTATTTTTATTTAAGTGGTCCTTTGAAATGCATTGTTTTCAAAACTGGAACTATCTACAGAAAATAGCTGAAGCATTTCTAACTCCAGGGGATGCATAGTGCCTGTAACAATCAAAGAATGTAGTGGACCGCCTAATTCCACTGTGGACATCTGATACAATGTGCCTGAAGCAATCTTCTGATCCGGAGCACCCACGCGTGCAAGGCCAACACAAATTGTGTTTTCAGTAATTTCTGTAAGAAAGAAGATGAAATGCTTCATTTGTTGACTAATGGTCCTGACATAAAAGAAAAAGTACTCAAAATGCTTGAACTTTTACAGTGCTTTCTTAGCACTCCAATTAATAAACCATCGGAGTGGCCTAGAAAGCAGCTTGTCCTTCAAAGAAAATAAAGCTGTATCTTAGAGATGTTTATAAGCAAGAATGGGAAGGCAGCAGAAGTCGAATATGAAATTCATTCAGGAATTGCATTCACTTTGAGGAAGCTGCTGCTTCTGATTCATTCTATACACAGAATAAAATGAAAGGATTTTCATTTTAACAGTATTTAAGGAATAAAATTTTAAAAGGAGGAATATAGCTAGATGAATTTCTATTTGCATTTTTCTGTGACACAACTGAGTCATCTTTATAGCTGCTGTGATTTCACCCTTGGTCTCAATAAACATCTTTCACAGTTTGCTGTTCACTAGTGTTAGGAACTCAAGGTCAAAATCACAGTTCTGCATTGTTGGGTAAACCTAGATTCATGCTGGTATTCATATAGAGCAGAGTGTGACCAGTCTAAATAAAATGTAGCAGGGATTTTTGAAGCTCGACTGATCTAAAATGCTCAGAATCCTTCCTCCTCCTGCAACTCTTAATAGATCAAAGAGCTCACAGTTCAAGACAGATAGAAACGGTAGAGGGTTACCAAACTGAGGCTTTGACTAAACGTCCAGGAGCCACTAGTGCTCGTTCATCTGTGCTCACTGAACTATGCCATGTTCAAGCTCTGCCAAATCCATCTCATGACTGGGATTTAAGGCGGCCCAATTCTACTGCAGAGCACAAGAATGCTAAGATTAAGAGAAGGGAGTAGAGTTCAGAGGCTCATCAAGAAGTGTGACTCGAGAGGGGTAGCAGCAGACAGAAACATTGCAGTAATAGTACCTGGTTCTTCTCCTTGCAGCCTCCTGTTTTGAATAATGGCAAGAAGCTGTTCTGCAGCTTGATTCACGCTCATGTAGCGTGGTGGCTCGTAAATCTTTCTTCCTCTGCAGGGAAAGAAAAGTAGAGAAATTTCACGTATAACCCATTTCATTATCCCTAGCGTTCTTACAGTTTATTTCAAGAAACCCCTAGACCAGGAAATTGAATTTAAACAGGCCCAGGCTCTCAGGCTGGGCCTTTTAGACAAGAGTGGAATTTTTAAGGCAGACAGAAGTCTCTTGTGCTCTCACCACACCTGTGAAACAGCAGGGCCTCCAGCTGGCAGATCATTTGAGTCCTAAAAGCAAATTCAGCTGCTGGAAGCAATATGCAGGTTTTACAGCTACTCCTGAAAGATGCATTAGACTTAAATTCAAGGGCAAACTACTGTTTTTCAGTCAACTGCCCTGTAGACAGATGATTACAGACTAGAAATATATTCTTAAATGAAATGCTGCTTTCTTTGCCAACTGTGGATTCAGTCAAACAGATTTTATTTTGAAACTCCAGAATAAACAAACCTCAATGATACTGTGAGGCTTCACAAATGTTAATTTAGACCGGAGTTACAGCATGCGTATAAAGTAACCATTTATATTCGCCACTGTCCAAACATACAGATTGCAGAGAGATGATTAAGATGTGGCAAGAGCTTTTTTGAATACAGTTAAATGAAGAGCATTTTCTGCATATTGCTTATTTAGCTGTTTAAAAAGGGTGGTACGTAGTCAGTACTTCACACTGTTTCTAGCCAGCATAAGGAAGAATGAATTCAGAACATTGCTTCAGCTATTAATCTGTTTCAGGATGGGGCAGAACAGTAGTAAAATAACACTTCATTTGCCAAGCGGAAAGCTTACCCCATTCTGACTTAATGCTTCTCACAGAAACAGTTGAAAAAAAAGATTATGCTCTGCTGCAACTTCATTCAGTTACTGTAAATAAAGCCAGGTCCTATTGTAATGAACAAAAAAGTTCTACTCCTTGTAAGAAACAAAAGACCGTGGCCACTGAGAAGTACAAGAGGAGAAGGCAGGTAAGTTCACTCTTAGACTATGGGCAAAGAACCTTTGTTCCTCGTACAAAAAAAAAACCCTTTGTAAATACACTGTGTGTTTCTATATATTTTCAAAATGGTGACTCACTTCATTAGATTCTCCAGAGACTGCTCCTTCACTTTAATATCTGTAGAACAAAACAGATATTAAAACGCAGGTTCCCTACAGACTTCCCGCTTCATTTTTTGTGTAGGTAAAGCTTAATTTAATTAGGAGGTTCTATAAACTTTATAACAACATTTTAGCTATTACAGGAAAAAGGAATACGGATTACATTCTACTGTTTCATATGTTAATCACAAAGCACTGTGATTTTATGCATGTGATTTTACCCAAAGATAGGGCAAGTTTCACCGATTTCAGAGCAACTTAGATGAATAAAAATACTGCTAAGTATACAAATAGCAGGCATGTTTACCATAGGATTGCTAAATGCTAGCATGTTCAAGCACACCAGGGTACGGGGACTACTCTTAAATTATGAGTACATTGTGGTCACAAAAGGTAAAACAGTATGACTGATCGACAGCGATTACATCATCGCCATGCAGGAACCTGACTTTCGTTAGCACTTCCTTGCTGTCCCAATCAAAATTTAGAACGATCTTCTGCTATGGAGGGAAAAAAAAGGATTTGGGCAAAAATGAAATAGAGAAGGGGTCAGGTAAGACTCTGCACATCTGCAATTTTATGAAACTCTTAACTGACCACAATCTCTCCAAGAGGCAATTGAATGTTATCTGTATTCAAATGCCCCCAAAATATTATTACAATGAAAGCTGGATACATTTTTAATCTTGATTTAAAAAAAAAAAAAAAAGCATTGCTTAAGTTATACAATCGACTCCTAAACCAAAGTGACTCTGAAGAAAGGAGTGTAAAATGCAAAGCTGCAAGACTATTAGTGCACACTTTACCAGATTGCTTATTCGTCCGTGAAGTCACTTTGAAATCAGAAGTTTATCAGCACTAGCCTTTTTATGTCACATTTGCTTATCTGGTAGTCTAGTCTAGTTGGATAAACAATCAATACATAGACCAGAATGACCAAGTAGCATTAAGGGAACAATTAATTTGGAAATTGGTAGTTTTCAGCTGTGAGCTACGATTAGGTGCCGGTACCACAACTGTCCCTGAAACATGAGATTTATAATTCAATTTTACTGTTTCAAAATTTTTACTTTCTCACTACTGTATAAAAAATGAAACATAAAAAGGGAGATCATAGAAATGAGTATACAAAATATCTAAAGAATACTTCGTTTTAAGGTAGTATAGTTGTAATAATCTTTGTTTAAAACACCTGTGAAGTCATCCTTCTTTAAAACAAATCACCACAAGTCTGATTTTTTAGCCAATTTTGAAAACAACTTTCAAGGCACTGGAAAGTTTGATGTGCAGTGATGCTTACACATTTAAATTGTTTCCTGCTCAGGATTCCTCCAGTTACAACAGAACTTGTTTTTACTTAAAATATTAATTTATTTAGCACTGAGAGATCCCAGCTGTGTCTGAAAGATGATACAGAAAGGAATATAATTATATAGACAAATATGCGAGTGCTTTATAGTTTATATGCAAGCAGTTCCGTAATCTTTAAGGAGCTACCAGGACTAGTGGAGTTACTCAGAAAGTGGCTTTCAGCCAAGGATTGCTGGGTAGGATAAAGATCAGACAGGACCATGGGAGAGCCTGGGGACAGCTGTCAGGTGGGAGCAGTGTTCCGTTTCTGCTCCATGGTCAGCAAGGATTTTTGACAGCACCGAAGCTTCTCATTTGACAATCACCTTTTGCCAAAACATCCTTAGATGAGATAATTTAGGAACGGGAATATCGCCTTACAAAACAGAAATGTGGTTAAATGTATGATTTAGCTCCCCAGAAAGTCAAATGTGTTGAGCTCTAACCTAATTAAGTCAATAAAAGATAGCTGCTAGTCACTGCAATCTGATTTGGACCCTGAGCTTGATCTAGCTTAAAATCACACTGATCTTTAGAGCAAATACAGGCCTCCTGCTCCTATTTGACTTCTACAAAGGCATAATTTCTTACAGATTTTCTGAAGAGGAATTAAGAAATTCCTGGCTGCTGTAGCATGAACAATGACTGAACTGACTCTAAGTACACGTACACTAATGTTCCAATTTTTGGTATATTTTCAAAGACATACGTTAGCTAAGAACATTTGTTTAATCACAGACTTTAATCACAGCTCATGCCTATCGCTATTGTTTCTGGACACCGCGGAAGATGGTAGCTAAGGAACCGGGGTAGCTGCTGCTTACCAAGTAAGCACAGTGTGTGCATTCCATTCTGCCTGTTCTTCTTGATCTTGTCAAAAAAGCTCTCTGGCTTCCATGTGTCTGTCCAGAAAACTATAGAAACTGTCTCTCCAAAATTGTACAACTGTAAAACAAAGCAAATGCAATAACACACATACACAATAAGAAAAAAATAAGTAGTGTAGCATACAAGAAAATGCTATGAAAATCATGAGCAATTGGCAACACTGAAAAGTCCTGAGCCTAGTTAATAAAAAAGTTTCATACCACAGGGAGAGTACTCCCCTAAAAGATGCTTAAGTTTGCTCTTTCATAAACACACAATAAAACATTGCATTAAAAATAATGCTTCCTTTTAAAAACGCTGCCCTGTGCTTCTCTGTATCTCTTGACTAGTTCTAGTGCATTCCTTTGCATTCCCTCCTTTCTTTTTAACAAAATCTGTAATTACTGAACTGTTTTTTCTTTGTCATAATAGAGGTGTGCTCTTGTTCTTCCACTCTCCAAACAGTACAGCATGTTAAAGAACGACTAATGAACTACCTGCAAAGTTTTTATCTCTCTCTGTGTTCCCCTTTTCAGTGTACATTAACTAACTTTCAATCTACCTTCTATTCTTTGTTACTTAATTCTGAAGTCCTTTTAAAGGCAAACCTTTCTAAGAGTAGCAGGAAAATTAGTACTTCTTATTTCTTATTTTGGTTAAGGCTAGGCAATTTCTAATAATGCCATAATACTTACAATGTTTTGATTCGACTGATATAGTAGTATTTGTATTAAAACAGCACTTTCCTGCAGATGAAAGCTGTATCATGCAAAAGAAGTTACAGTCTAAAGAGACAGTGGATATGAAGATATGAAGACAGGGACAGATTGTGCATGAAGCACAGAGGTGCAACATTTTTTATGCACATATGGAAGAAGAATATTGCTAGCAGACTCTATGTCGAACATACTCACTGATTTTAGTCTCAATCTTAACTCTATTTATTACTGTAAGTCCCTAATCTCGGTGAAGACATTTGAAGCAATAGTCTTGCCAATCATTCCCGGTGATGCAAAAGCAAAAGTCATGTGTAACCTAAGGCAGCATTTCGCTTGGAAGTTTTGTAACCAACTTGAAAAAGGGCAAAACCATGCATCAATTTTGGTCAATTCATCTCTGGAATGGGGCCATCCCAGACGGATTTTACAGCTTGCCAATATCCTGCCTGCTCAAGCCCACCAGAGAAACAACGGCTATACGGACTAACCTCCCCACTTTCTCTGTAAACCTGGAAGGAAAAACTGCTTTTCCAAGCCCACTAGAGGAGGCACTGTGTGGGCTGTTAGCAGAGAAGAGGACCCCTATATAGGAGTAGCTCTGGCAGCTCCCTGCCATCTGGGGATTCCCCTATACATACTGCTTTTACTGTGGCATTAGGTTGCGGTTTTAACTCTTTTACGCTGGCAGAGCAGAATTTGAATCAAAGCAGAAACATGTTTGTTTTCAAGGGACCAAAAGCTCAAATTTTAACCATTCATGCTGATAGGAACAGTGTTTATTCAAAGATTCCTGCAATATTACTGAAAACATTTCCTCTTTTAAATATTTCATTCTAGTACAAGGACAAGAACACCCAGCGTACATTTCACAACCTAAAGGTTCTTCCAGTAAACTAAATATAGGTTGAACCAAATGAATTCCTCCTGATGTAACTTCTTAACTACTGCAAGGCTGTGTTCCAGAAAAAGAAAAAACAAGCTATGTTTGGCCTATTTTTCATGTGGCTAGCTAGAACTCTTTCCATTTTGTCCCAAATCTGAAGAAAAACTATTAGAACAAGGAGTTTCTCTTTCTCCCCTTCACTGTTAGAGCATCTGGGAGCAAGTTAACCTTTAATCTCACTTGTAGTGTACCTTCAGTCGTCAATAACTGCCGAGATGTCCGGTACCAACCTAACTAGCTAGCTTACCAGCTGCCACCTGAAAGCCCCTGCAGTCATTTCCCAAAAGCAGCAGCCCTCATTCAGTACAGAAAGTGGCCTCAATTAACCTCAAATCTTATCCCAGTCCCTTTGGCATTTTGATAACCTGAAGGAGAGAATCTTCTACCCCTGCCTTTTAGCAAAGAAAGGGATGTGCAGAAATGGACAAAATGTTACTATCTGGTAAGTATTTTGTTGGGAATCAGATCTTTTAAACCATTCTGCCACATATTAGAAACAAGTTGGGCATTCAACTTTATACCCTACAGCACTTGTTCTGATTGTTATTTTTCTCTTTTCCATTGATCATTACAAAGATTCTCCATCATCTTTGCCAACAAGAAGTTAAGCAAGTTATCCTTTTTGTGCAGGCACTGCCAGTCAGATTCACTGAATCTGTCCTTTGTTTACCAGGTTTTGCATTAAAACTGAAGTCTGAATGTCAAAAAAGAATAAAACATTTTTGTCAGAAATGGCCTGTCTATTCAGTAGAAATAACTTCAGAATATCTTCACGAAGTATTGATATCATAGCAAACTGTACTTATAGCCTCACAAAAATATACGAGTTTTCTCAGCACCTGGACAGCACAGAAGTAGCTTCTACACCAGCAAGATGGAATGGGGCATATTTTATTAACCTCCTAGAAATGCCTTTGCAACTTATACCCCTCTACTAATTAAACTTCTAAAGAATAGATTTCATAGGATTAATGCATACATATTTTTACTTTAAACTAAAGAGGGGAACATACTACTTTGGCAACTTTCTGGTACACCAACAACCTATGAATGCTGTGGAACTGAAGCAATAAATGGATACCCCTACTGTGCTTGACTACTTGTAACTAATTACCTTACAAGCACTTCTACAGACACAAACAAGTATTTCTTTCTCAACCAGCATTTGATCTCTGCAGACGTGTGACATTTATGCAAACGCAGGCACTGCTCTTCCACCAGAGCAAGCCTGCATTAAAGAAGCAACACCTAACTGTATCAGAACTTACATTTTTAACTCTCTCCCTGTACCTCATGCAGATTCAATTTGTTCCTAATAGTTTCCTGTGCTGTGTTCTAATTTCTACCTCTTGAAATCTAGCATAAAATATCAGACTTTTGAGAAAAGCCTTGCTCCAGAGAGAGCAGTCCATACCAAAGATTCCACTACTATCCTAAGGATTCAGCTGTTAGAGAGGACAGCAGGTCCACTAGAGCCAGAACCCACTGAAATTAAAAAAAAAGAGTCTTTCCACCAACCATAAAAGACTGAATAGGGCCCCAAAATTCCACAAATCATGCTTGTCGGAATAAAACTGTGACACGTTTGTTAACCAAGGTGTATTACAACACAGCTAAGGATTAATGTCATGCTTTGAGATTGTTAAGAAGAAGTTTAATAAGACAATGAAGAGCTCTGTATATTTTCAGTGAGACAATCACGCTGTATGGTTGCTGGCACAGCTTTGAAGAGAGGCAACAGCAAATGAAGTTTCACAGCGGTCTTCTGTGTGCTGCACTCTACACTAAGCAGCTGGGTTCAGGAGTGGGCAACATCTGTTCTGTACAAGCTAAAACATCTCAAGCATCAGACTTGCACTCATCATCAGCTTTCTTAGAGTGCCTACATTCTCCTCAGGCGCAAAAGTGCCAGAATTTGAAAGGGGCTCTGAACCGACTGGACAGACATTTTGTGCTCCCAGCTTGGAAAATAACATTCTTACCTTCTCCCTAATGCTCAAAAACTTATCAGAAAAATTTCAAAAGGTCATTTTGAAAGACCTCAGTCTTTGGAAATACCCCCCCCCCCCCCCCGCCCAAGTTGTAACTGGCTTAAGCAAAGCCTTGTGCACTTAAATTTTGCAATGCAATAGCTGAAGTCAGGAAAGGAAGCCAGAACTCTCTACTCCGAGGCAATCCTCTGTCTGCTAGAGTTTTCTGCCTCTCACAAAATACTGCAGAAAGCTGTTCTTCAACTCACGCTTTCATCACCTCAGAACAAGCTATAACTTCCTATTTTATTTACACGCATAATATGAAAGAATGTCTGACAGCTTTTGGTACTGAGGTGCCTGTTTTCAGTTAGTATTTCTAACCCTTCTGTTAATGATATTTCTTATTTTACTTGTTGTTTATGTAAGCAGAATTGATTGCTAATTGAGAGGCCAGAATAAACGATGAGAGAAAAAGTGCTGTACCACGATCCCGGCTTGGAAAGCCTGCATGCAAGTGAAACTTCAATGAAACTACTGACCAACTTTGTTAATGGCCTGTCAGAATGACATGAGACACCTGAAGCTGTCTACATCAACGGTCCTCACTTAAAATACTGGTGTGGCTAATCACCACAAAAATATAGGGCATAAAAAGAAGGAACAAGCTGAAACTAAACAGGGAAATTAAAAAAGGAAGATCCCCCATCCCCTCTAAAAAGTACTAAAGCAAGCAGGAGAGAAGATACGAGATAATATTAAAGGTCAGTAGGGCAACAGCTGCAGAGAAACCAAGAAGTAAACATTTCAAAATGCAGACATTTATTTTTACAGCATCTTTCCCAGAATTATTGCTGTATCAGCTGCAATGGTGACAAAGCAATTCTTCACTTATGAGCCTGCCTCCTTTCCTAAAATTTCAAACAGCTTCAGAACTGGATACGTGTCAGGGGAAGGAATAAAAAGGAGTCTTATCATGACATTTTTCAGACCTGGCACCTGTATATACATACAAATGCCTGTAAACCCTGTAGCACTGACACGCTACTCATCTATGTTCTGTGTTGAGATGGTCACAGGTTACACTGCAAGTGGTTCTCACAGGACAGGTGTGGTCTGCAAATGAAGATACTGCACAGCCTGATCACATCCCACTGACAGGCACCAAGAGGCTTTTTCTCCTAAGGCTATTCCTCAATGGAATTTGGAGACCGTAGAGCACCTTGCATTATCCCAGGTTGCTGCTTGATAAATCCCACTGAACGTACACAGAAAAGCTAAGACTTGTTTTGTTTATCCTTGTCATAAGAGTTTTGACGTGATGCTATGCAACGTTCACCCTCAAAAAAAGGAACCTAACAGGTCAGATTTTTCCCCCTATCCGCTGTAACCAGTTAACAACCCTCCAGACCATATACATCAGATTAAAGAGCTCCTACTGCTCTT